TTCAGAATACTTACGACAAGTCTTACAGTAGTTTATACACTCTAGGATGCCATCATTAGAAAGACAACCTGGTTTTAGGTAGCACTCCGCAAGAACAGAGCTGCTAATTAAACTGTGACTCCCATTTGACTGGAGAGGTGTTACACTGTGAAGAGATGTGCATCTTGGAATTGATGTAGTGTAACAGCACTTCCTTGTTCGTGCAACTATTTAGACAAAAATTATTTCACAGGCAGGTAGAAGTCAATCCTTGGGTAAGATTTATGATCAAGCGTGAATGTAGAAGGGCAGGTACCCTCATTTGCAGTCGCAGTCTCAGACAGTTTTACAGGAAGCCAGCTTCGTTCTCTCTCCTCTCCCCGGTGCACTCCACTGAGATGAGGGCGTTAGACCCGTCTCCACACCCATGGGGTGGTCGGTAGACTCAGACAATGCTGCTTCTTCACCAGAAATTTCTTCTCATCTTACATTAAAAGGAAATAAGATCGTTTGCTTTTAAATGACTATTGTTGAAAAGGTTCATTGTTTCCGGAACGGTAGTATTTTTTAGTTTGTTAAATGTGTGAGTTTAACTTGCTTCTATTTCTTATATTTCTAGTAAAAAGAGAGTGTAAAATGACAAATCACAGAGAAAACACTTACTTGTTTTCTAGGAAAGAAGTTTTACATGAGTCTCTGTTACTTGTTTTTTTTTCCCCCATCCACTAGAGCTTAGGAAAACTGCGGAATTGATGGCCTCGGAGAGCAGTGCCTTTGGCAAGTCCCCCCAGTGGTGATTTTTAGGCGTTAGACGTGGTTTTGCTATCTTGCTGGTATTTCAGTAACACTCGTGCTATTTGTCCTTAAGTTGTGCTTTTCTGGTGAGTAGGAGGCAGGAATTACTGGAAATAGGAGTTTTTAAAGGACACACTGTCATTCTTGTCGGAGGCTGTGTATCTATGATGCTGTTACATCACTTACAATGTTACAAGGTTAGAAATGCCTAATGACAACCCCTCTCCTTTTTATTTATTTTTGATACCAGGAAAAAAATCTGTGTTTTAAGAATTCCATTCATATCTTCTCAGCTGCTCCTTCCCTATGGACATTTTATAACACTTGTAAAGCTTAAGAACATACAAAGCAAATTAAAAAAAGAACTTTCTTACATATTATTTGTCTGGGTGTGTGTGTAACAGATCCATGTGAATCCAAAATTAAATTGTTTCAGGGCATCTGAGGTCTTGTTGCTGGTGAAGCCAGCCCGCCCTCAGTGGGCTGAGCCACACAGGCACGTCTGTGACGTGCTTTCTGATGAACGGCTTCTGTCACATCATCAGGATGGTACAGCCCTCCCCTGATGAGGCTGCACAGGCAAGGCAGGGCACCTTTAATGACTTTGGCAACAGGATTAGAAGAATTTAGAAGGTTCTATGAACATGATCTCTGTGCAATGGAAACAATTCTAGAGGTGCCATTTGTTTCAACAGCTAGCTTTCATAAATTCCTCAAATCCTGGAATCTGAGTCATCTCTCAAAAACAGTTTCAGTCTAAAATTTACCGCTGTGATTTCATTCTCCCATGTGCCTCCCTTACAAAACTCTCTTTAAACATCAGGCTAGTTTTGAGTTAACAAGCAAAGAAAATATAGAGGCTGCTTAAGATTGTTCTCTCTCTTTTTCTATCATGATCATTTTCTGTTTCTTACTTAAGACTTCAGAGTGAGATGCTGAAGCTTTACATCTGAACATAAAGGGAAGGGTGTCTTCTCGCACCGCGGAAATCATTCTCTATGCAGCCCTGACTGAGGACCTTCCACCAAGTTGATTATCCAAGAAATCATTCAGCCTCCATTGTCATGACAAGACGAACAAGCCTAGTGGTGTTTTTAGCATCACTGACCAAAATTTGGTGATTGCACTTCTTGACCTGATTAAATTAGTTACATTAAAGCATGTGGAAATCTTGAGATTTCAAAGAGTATAAGGAATGAGATGAGCTTACTCTGGGAACTATAAACTACTTGATCCCACAAAATTCTGAGCCACTTGAGAGAAGGAACGTTCTTGCTCTTTTCTTGTTCTCCCTGCCACCACGCAGAGCACTGAGCACAGAATTTCTAAATGTATTATTTACAAACCTGTGAATGGTTAATAAATGGCTAACCTCTGCTTTAAAACTCCTTAATTGAGTCAGTTTTGATACTACTTCAATCTTTCATTAGCTTTCTCAGTGAAGGAAATGGACGTATATACTTTTAACAGCCTTACCAGTTCGGTGATTCTTTTTATCCAGTGTCCTACAGCTCAGACGTACTGTTTTATTCACAATGCTTTTCTACATATCAGATTCTTCAAGAAAGAACAGAAGCACTACCTAACTCAGATTATGGATATATACCGCCCTAAGTTTGTTCATGCGTTCCCACAAAGGAAGGTGATAAATGGGACAAAACAAAGTTTTACACACATATGATGTTAAAAGATGCATTGGATTCTTTCTCTTATAGTTAAGAAATGTTTATTGAGACATTATTTCTCATTCAAGTTTATCTATAAAAGCCAGTAACACTCTTAAGCTATCTTTTTTTTTTTTTTTTTTTTTAAGATGAAAGTAAATACTTCAGTTGCCTGAGGAACGGTGTTTGGGACATTCATTGCTTATACAGCTTGTTGATAATTTAATCTTGTAAAATCCTTCTAATCACATTAAAAATGTATAAACATTTTCTATCTGATCAATATTTGTCTTCCATGGTCTAGTTTTAAACCTGGAAAGCCAATGAGCAGTGTTATCTTCTTATTTTTGTAGTGAATACATAATAAATGCAATGCAACCTTTTTGTAGCTTAGATAAGGCTTTCTGGCACTTTTCCAAGTTATATTTCTGCTTAGTTTATAGCACAGACCTCCGTTTTATTTTATATAAACAAATGAAGAGTTGGACAGAGGGTCGGGTCCGTAAGTACGATTTCATACTTGCTGGAACTTCTTTTTAAAAAGAAATTTGTATATGTAGACAGAGGAGGTATTGTAAAAGAAAAAGTATCTCAGAGACCTGGAAATCTTTGCTTATGGTCCTAGAAATGGGGGAGTTTGGGTTTTCCAGTTGTGGTAGCGTGCCCTTGGAAAAGCATCATTAGCTGAGCTTATTCTAAAGAACGTGTTACACAGGGATTAATTTTATTAGTATTAACCTTCAGAGAAAAGCACAGTTGTGCAATTGTTTTTGAAATTAAGCCAAATACTCCATTTATATGTGTGCACCAAGTGGATGGTGTCTCTGACTTTGTGATTTCCACAAACATTTGGTTTCTTTGCTGAGACATACTGAGCCTACTATTTAAGTATCTGTCACCTTTCTCTGCCATCTCCGAGCACCCAGCTCCAGGGTGTACCCAAGTCCTGGCTTTAGACTGCCTGAGATCTTAGTGGGTGGACCTACACTCTCCAGCCCTTTCCCGCAACTGCTTCACTCCACTCCCCTGGACTTGCTTCTCAGTGGGCGGGATGAGAGAAACATACAATTGCATCAACAGCAAATGTGAAATTTTGTTTTGGAAATTTTTTGGCACAAGACTGTTAGACATACTTAAAAAGGACTGGAAGGTATTATTTAGCTACTGTTGGGAATAAAAATGTACTGTCTTCACAAACCTGGCAAGTCTTATACTTATTCAACATCACCATCATAATAACCTTTCACGGTACTTTCTATGCTGTTCTCAGCATTAGTATATATTATACTAATGCACAGACACCTCATTGCAACCAAATACATAGCACTATTACACCCCCATTTTATAGATGCAGGAAAATGAGACATTTAGAGGTTAAGTAACTTGCTCAAGAGTATACAGCCAGTAAGTGGTGGAGCTGGGAAGGGAACCCAGGACACTGAGTGCTCGCCTTCATGGCAGGCAGTTAATCACAGCTGCGTGGAAGAGCTCTTGGTTCCCCCACCAAAGGCCAAATGTCCTGCATAAGCCTGATTTTCCCTTGTCACCATTAGAGCTTAGAAAGACTTTAAACCATACCCTAGACAGAGGGATAAAAATGTGTATGTAGTACTGACAAAATTCAAAATGTGTTAGGAATAATGTAAAATCATCTTCTTACATTCAAAAGTTAATTTTACACTTTTATACTTAAAATTCTCAAATACGTAATATTTTAAACAATCAAAACTAGTATAATACTAGATATAAAACTCCATGGTCTTAAAATGGAATAGAATTTGTTTTTCTGGTTAGTGACCCACCTATTTTCCAAAGCTCCATCTGTCCTCTCACAGAAAATCTATGTATCCCTATAAATTATGAAGAAAGAGAATTCTGATCTCTTAAGATTACAGCCAGTAATAATTCCATTGTTTGGTTTTCAAAGAAGTTAGTAGTAAAACTTAGAATTTTTTCAGCTACTTGTAAAATCTGTTATTTCAGATTCGTTACTAAATCATTTCTTAGCTTGACCCTGAAACTGTAACATAGTTCCAGCACAGGGTAACAGACAGCTGGTAAAGTATAAGCTGCTTCTGCAAGCATTTTCTTATTGGCTCTGAAACATGTACAGAAAGAGCTAGAAGTTTCAGAGAATCCAGGATAAACAGAGAGACAAGCAGAAAAGGCGAATCCTTTCTGGTCGAAACTTAGTTTTCCTCATTATTTTGGGCCCACGCTTGCGTCTCTGATTGTCCAGCTGTACGTGGAGATGTGCAGAGAGCACTGCTCCTCATTTCAGCCTCCCTGTGCTCCACGCTCTCTGTGGGTAACCATGGGGACAGGTCGTAGGCAGACACAGCAAGTGTGTGGCTCCCTGCTGGGGGCCACAAGTGACTTCTTTTGTCAGATACTGAGTAAGGTATTAGAGAGATGAGGTTTAGTAACTGGGACAAGCTCTCAGGCTGGGGTCGGGGTGGACACCCGGGTGCTGTCATGAATGGACCCACATAGATATGATGTGCATCAGACCTCAGTGACATTTATTTCCAAGCTGTTAGGTTACCAAGGAAGGAGCCTTACCCGGGCCTTCTGCTCCATTTCTAGCATTAATCTCTCATGTTGCTCAGCTATGGCCAGTGTCGCAGAATGGACCTTCTGATAGATCATTTCTCCTTCCCTTGTTTGAAAAGTGAATAGTCCTTCTCCTGTGTCACACATTCTGTGAGAACAGAGATAGGGAAAGAGATGGGTCTTCACGTGTTCAAGTGCGTAACAGTTCTCCACGTAAAAGACGCCCTCGCCCTGCAATCCCCGCCTCCTCCACTTTCACAGGAGGGAGTGAGGCGGACTCATCCTTGACCAAACCAACCAACCAACCAACCAGTGCGTCTTCCAACAGTGCACGAGAACGAACCAGAGGAAAATCCAGGTACAGGTGAACTTTTAAGGATGAAGTGCTCGACAAAAGTGATTTCAGTTGTTACAGTGCACGTCTCACCAATGCGTAAAGAATACGAGCAAACAGTTATTTTAAGAATCTTCACATTGATACCACAGTATTATCTCCAGTGACCTGATAGCTCTTGAAAGGTTAAGAGCTTAAGAAAAAAACCTGCAGTTTTATACTCATTGCAGTAGGAACCAAGAGGACCTTTTTTTTTGTAGTTTATGGATTTGTGTACATGGGCTGAAACTTTTATTTAAACTGAGGAATCCTCATATAAATCTTGGTAAAGCCTAGGAAACAACACGGCAGAGAGGAGACGCTATTTGGATGGAAAAATATTTGGTTTGAACTTGGCTCTGCCACTCACCAGCAGTGTGACCTTGAGCAAGTTAACTAACCTGCCTGTGCCTCCTTCTCTAACAGGAAAGATAACAGCACCCATCTCATAAGGTCCTTGTGACAGTTAAGGGATTTGATGCACACAATGTTTATAGTGTTACTTAGCACCTATGAGTGCTCAAAAACATTAATTATTATTTTCATCATAGAGAAAGTATGGAACTAATCTCAGTATCCACCGTAGAGAAATGATTGGCTTAAATGTAGTATATGTATCTGACGGACTAGTATACAGCCATTATTATGTCATTTCTGAGGGCCTATCATAATATTACATTTCTTATAATGTAAATGCAAGAGGAGAAAAATCAGAATACAAATCCTTTTCAACGATTTAACTGTAATTACCTTCTAAAACATAATATTTTATTGGAATAAAACCACCACCAATTTCTCAGGCAACAGGAGTATAGGTAAGTTTTATGAACAAAGACTAATTCTAAAATGAAAAAAACATTTTAATCAGTATTTTAAGCCAGCTTTAAAAAATAATCAGAGACCCACTGAGTATCAGTGTGATGTACCCACTCAGATACTGGACACTAACTGCTACACTGTCGTTTTCAGCTTATAACGTCAAAAGAGTTGCACAAAATGCTCACGAGGCCACCTCTGCCTTCCAGCACCAAAAAGATTTTAGCTGCTTCTCCATGATTCTCCAGGGAGTTTCAGTAGAAAAGAAATGTCTCAGGAGGCCTCAGAAATTACAGAGGCTGCAACAGACATCCCTTAGGGCCCCGCAGAGCCAGCACTTAGCTTCTGTGAAAGAGATCTTAATAAAATTCACACAGTGTGAAATGGAAAGTTTGGGGGGAAAATGAAGAGTTTTCACAAAGCGAAACAAATGAGCTTTCTTTGTTGATTCAGAGGAGTAAAGAAATACAACAGCAAGTGCAGGGAAACCACCGATAAGCGGTGAGCCCACCTTGTCTGAGGCTGAGTTTTGTTCACTGTCAGTGGAAAAAACTGCTTATTATTAGCCTTCAGAAACGAGATCATGAAGACACGGACTGTCGTTTCATACTCAGTCACTGAACTGCAAAGGCCTAACACTTGGCCATTTCCTGGGACTTAACTCTACCCCATGATGGAGTCTGACAGCTTACAGAAGGGTTTTTCCCAGCCTCTGGAATAAAAACTACTGTAAACTTCACCCACCAATCAAGAAATAAGGAATCCGAACATGCCTGCAATAAAAAAGCACAGAACCTTCAGGTAGAAGGTGCTCTTCCTTCAATGTAGATTACCTAGAGCCAAGCTGGAGTCACACCTCTTCAGTACAACTGGCTCAGATTTATGACTTCTGTCAGCAGCGTTGGAATTCCTAGGAACAATCTAAACTGTTTATTCCAACGCTACTCTAGTTGTTATGTTTTCTCCTGGAGCTGATATGGAGCAGATATGAAGATCTTTTTCTTACATGTCTAAACAGTTTTGTGGCAGCAAGCCAGTAACAAAGACGACATAAGAGGAGGGATGAAATAATGTCGATGGCTGTTCCGCACTCCTCAACCCGGCCCCCGACCAGCAGCACCCGCGGCACTGGGAGCTGTCCAGCATGCTGAATCTGGACCTGCGCTCTGACAGCATCCCCAGGTGACTCATATACACGGTACAGCTTGAGAAGCACTGGCCTACAGAAGTCTTCCCATGGGTCACCATTTCATTCAAGGCAGTGGGAAATGATGCTTGGGACCACAGGAGGACAAATGGGAAGCTGTATTTGTGCAGATTAAGACTGTGACATGTGGAACTGAAAGTCAGAAAGGAAGAAATATAACAAGGACAAAAAATATCTGCAAGAAGCCTTTCCTTTGGGAACAGCGAAGAGAGAGGTGCTACTCCCATGTGAATGTTCTAACCCCGTCACCACTGACATGCACATTCCTGAGCTGCACTGATTTGGAGAATCAGTGAAAATATGGACAGTGTATGTTTGTCCTGTTGAAATGTATAGACAATTACAAATGTTACCTCTTTTTATACTTGAGCAAGATATTGGCACAAAATTAATACTTTTTCTTATTTAAAATAAAATGTTAAAGAACAGAATCTCTAATGTCCCTCTCAGCTCTAAGGAGTAGTCTAGGGCCTCGTAAAAATTCTAAGAAGTAAGTAGAACTAATACACTTATTTCCAGACTTCTTTTTTTTTTGACATTGTGATACATGAAATATTATATTAGTACAGGATTCAAAAAACTTAAGGGCACAGATTTCGACCACCACGTTATGACCTGTCATATTCACTTATCATACAGTTATCAAGCACTTCTCAAGTACTTAGTATTTATCAAGCCAAGAAGGAGATCATGGTGGATTGACTTGAGAAAGTTACTTTACCTATTGACGCATGTGCAAAATGGGGGCAACAAGACTTTGTCACAGATTGTTTTTATTTTTCTTTTAATCAAATGGAGTAACGTAGGTGACAGTGGGCAGGAAAGGATAATGTCGGCAGTCCTGCGTTGCTCAAACTCTGCATATTCCAAAGAATGGCCTGTTTTGGGGATGGTGCCTTGGATGGTGTCTGGAATGCAACATCTGAGCCTGGTAAGAGTGCTTCTGCGTGAGGCCTTGAGCAATGCTGTGTCAGTCTGACCAGGTCTGATCATCCTCACAACGTGACTGGCCATGGGGGCCTCTTTTTCTCTAGTGGGGGCTGGAGTCTGAGTGGCTCAGGTTGTTTCTGGAGCCTGGGGACACCACACGCCTGTACAGCTGACCTCCACTAAAAGCCTCAGACACCAAGGCTCAAGGCAGCTTCCCTGGTTGAAAACTTCAGACTTATTGTCACATAAGCTGTTACAGGGAGAATTAAGCCTGTTCCTATGTGACTGTAGGGGGACCTGGAGGCTTGTCTCTGGTCTTTCCTTGTCTTCATACTGTGTCTTTTCCCCTGCGGATTGTTTAACATGGACCTTTTACCCTAGTAAGCAGAACTGTGTGTGTAATGGTTTTCTTTCTGAATCTTGCGAGTCTTTCTAGAGAATCATTGAGCCTGTGGAAAATCTTGAAGGCTCCACCCAAGACAGCCAGCATGTGGTAGGTTAATATATTTTGATGCAATAAGAACATTTTAAAAATCCTAGTCTTTTCCTTAAATGGCACTTTTTCAAGTTCTGTTCCTTCAGGGATTTAGGAGAGTATGCACTTTCTTTACCCCACCTCACTGCTCACTTCCAGAATCCCCTGAAGTAGCAGCACTGTCAGCTGTCTCTCCTGAGTTCTAGTAAATAGGAAGTAACCAGAGTTCACCGTCAATGTACGTGTTCACAGGAAACTAAACTCCAAACGAGGCACTCCACTGTGCATGCGTCTCAAAGTTCCCTTCACGGGGAGAAGTCACCCTAAAAGATGGTGCCATCGAGGAAATTTCACTTGAGGAAAAGCCCCCACTGTGTACTCACTAGACCACTGACCTCCTTTTCTTGTCTTTAAGCCTCAAACTTAGCTCTTCATGAGGGAGTGGTTTCAGAATTCAAGCCTTTCTTCCAAATGACACGCGAAATAAATTTACCAAGTGAGAAGTTAAGGAAACACTTTAAGAAGTGAAAATAGGCGCTTTAAAATAATTCTCTGTGAGTCTTGAGATAAAATTTCGCTACGGATAAATCCGTAGACTTATAGCAACTTTGTCCATCTTCACAGCCGTATAATTTCATTCCCTCAGTAAGTTTCACAGTTTTGTATGTATATTTAGAGACCGAGTATTTATCCTCTGTGCACACAGAAATTTTAAACTCTCGGCAATGGTGTTAGGCAGGAGCACTTTGCTGAAAGCTCAGTGGTGTTTCCATTCATTATTTAAAATTTAATCTTTAATTATAGAAAGTAATGAAACCTGTAAAGCCCAGCTCTTCTGCAGAGCAGTTAAAACCAGTTAGCACTTCCATTCTGGTGACAGTTGAATCTTCATTGTCACTTAACAATGCTAGCTTGTATTTTACCTTTTTTAGAAGCTATGAAAAGCCTAAAGTTTCTCTCTAAAGCTCTGGTGAGTCAGATGTTGATTCGTGGTAAGAAATTACTAGCAAAATGGAGAGATGCAAAGAAAGTCTAGAAATAGACCCAGTTCACATGAGAGCTAAATACGCGGTGAAAGTATAGTCTCCAATCTGTGTGGGAAGCTGGCCTCTTCAATAAAGTGTGGACACTGGCCATTTGGAAGAACGTTTGGATCCATCTTTCTACCTCCACTAATAAAGTCCAGAGAAAGCAAAAAACAACCAACCAACCAAACAAAAAACAGCTATCAGAAGAAAATAGGAAAGAACTCCCATATACACTCAGAAAATGGAGGGGGTTTCAAGCTATGATACCAGGAAAAAAGTGATAAAAGGAAAGACTGATAAATCTGCCTGTGAATAATTT